AATCTATTTAATCTTTATCAACAGTCTGTACAGAGGATGATTGCACAGCTCAAATTACCAGGTGGAGTGAGAGATACAGGGAAAATGGATTTATTGTGACATCCTAGTAGGTTTAATGTTATGAAAAGTGTCAATGTAGCTCTCAGAGACAACTATCAGATGCTGTTAGCCTTCCCCACAGCTCTCCCAGTATTTTTCAGCCCTGCTTGCTATTTTGCTCCAGATATGCTTCAAGACATGTGTAAACAGGGATGTAATGGGGTCCAATAGCTTCACTTCTACTCGTGATGGGAGCAGGGACTTGGACACTGACCTCTGTATAGGGGCAAGAGTGGATACCATAACCCTAGGGGAAGAGAGGGGGAGGTATAAATAGAAGCATGCATAGAACCCCCCGTGCCCCACCTACCATTAATCACAGGTGTGAAAACTGCCATGCCTTCAAAATTTGGGTCAGTTACAGTTTTATCCAGGATGAGCCCACCAACGCTGTTAAAAAAGGACAGGCAATGAGGGTGGATGAATCTTTTCCCAGGGCAATTCCTAAGCTGTGAAAATAGTACATTGAGATTGGTTACTGCATCTTCCCCATTGTCAGAGCTGGACTATTCACCATGTACTCCTTTTATAGCTCAGTTTTCACCAACAGACGGCCTTAGAGTTTTTGTTAATGTCGTAACAAGATCAGGGAGACCTCCTTGCCCACCCTTCAGCAAAACCAGTAGTAGTCAGGGAAGCTTTATCATCCTCCCCTAAAGTTTTGTTGCACTTCTATATGGGCCCTTAACAGGTTTTTTTCAATTCTCTCACAGATCTCAGCTGAGTCTGAAAGCACAGGATGAATAAACTACCTGGCTCTAGGTTCGCCAGTCTTTTCTCTTTACAGCTGGATAAAAATGAGGTTGAAGCCCGATAATTTGTGATGGTCATCATCTCTATTATCGGTTTCCTGGCATGCACCCATGTGGTGCATGGATATGTGAGTGAGACTTAAAATGATTATTTGCTTTTCTAGTCATTTGGGGGCTCCTTATCTGCTATCTCACAGCCTGTTGGAGGGTGACCAATGGCTGAGAAGCACTGGACAAATACTCTACTGCTGTCCCTTCCAGTTTCACTTTTGATGGCCTTCTAAATGAATGCAGGGTCACCCTGCAGTGTGCATACACACATGGGCTTGGGAGCAGTTCCTTGGTTTACCTGCTGATGCTCATTGCAACGATAACTGGCTGCCATCCAGATTTCAGGACTTCGGCAAGGGAAGGACATTGCTTGGCAATAGCAACCCAGAGAGGGATCATGACAATGAAGACAGCACAGATCAGAGGAGAAAGGTATTTCACATCTGGCAAGGAAAAGAAACCTTGAATTAAACCCCCATAGTTTCACAGGTTGCCAAAATCAGATTGCACAAAGACAGGAAGAAAGGCAGCAGGACTCTTGCTCCAACCAAGTTATGTTAGCAAAAAAATCTCATGAACCATGATATTCCCCACAAAACTACCTCATTCCACAATAGAAATCCATAATTAATCCCTGAATTTCACTGCAAGAGGATGCTATTTGAAAATCAGCAGGATTCAAAGCAAGTTATATTTGAAGATGAACAAGTCTCCAATTCCATCTCCAGCTAAGAAAGATGAGAAGTTACAAAATTTATGGCTTCAGGGTACAAATCAAACAGCAGGGCAAGGGGGAAACTCTTGTGTGCAAGCTGTATCACACTTAGGGCAGACACCTCACGCCTTCTCCAAAAACATGAGGTAAGAGGTACTTTAGGTGGCAAGCTAGCAGAACTGCCGAGCAGCTGGTCTGCTCTGTAGGAACAAATGCTCTCTTGCATGTGTAAGGCAGCCAAGAACTGGAGCTTCTTTTGTGCTAGCTTATATGTGTTTCCATTAGGTGCTTTTCCTATTCGGCAGAGGCATAACCTTGAAGTGATCTTCAGAAACAAAGGAATTAAAAAAAATAAGTAAATGTGCAGGACTAGAAGAAAATAAAAATTACTCAGAACCATGAGAAACACCTTCAAGCAATGGGGATGATGCCAACCCTTTTGATACAAAAATGCTTCTTCAACAAAGCTCTCCATCTGGTCTCTGTTGGGGCCAAAGGCAGTGGGTTGTAACGCCGACTTTGCAGGTAATCTGGGAGATGAAGCAGGCTCCAAGTGTGCATTTTAAAAATGTCATTGCCAGGGCCTTGGGCTACCTGGATGAGAAAGCATTGATGTGATGACATCTTCCATAAATCATAGGCTCTTACACAAAGAGGTGCACTCTTTATGAGTGGATTCGGTAGGCACTGAAATGCAGCCACTTCTGGGGTGTAGACAGCCACTGTTTTGTCAGTGCACTTTACCACCAGGAGTCATTCAGGACAGATTCAGCTACTGTATTGGGTCTCCTACCTCCACCCCTTGTTGTTTCGAGCAATTAATTCCTTCTTAAATAATGCATACACAGAGCACTGGAGTCTATCAAACCTTATCAAAGCCCACAGAAAGACTCCTGGTAGGATGAATGGCCTTCAGTCTCCACATTCCTGTTCTGCCACATTCTCTCACACACAGCCCATAAACAAGCCGAAATCCTTTGGCACAGTTTGTATCTCCATTTTCAGGACTGAGAAGGATCAGGATCAATTTTTTAAAAATTGAAAATCTTCAGTGGCAAAAGGATATTCTGTAGAAGGAGATGGTGCTGCATCAGGTGGCAGATAGCACTGAAATTTACAGCCTCATCAGTACTTTTGAAGGATACATTTTGGCAGGACCCAGAAGTTGCTACAGCATGATCTGTACCTTACTACACACTGAGGAGAAAAATGGTTTTGTTCAACTACCATCAGCAGTGCTGTCCTCCTACCTGCTTGACTTCATGCTCCCAGTGACTCAGTGTCTGTGTGCTGAGTATTTTCCATCTCAAGAGGTTATTTAAACTACTCTGTAAACTCCACAAATGCTCTCTGGTCATAGCCATAGAGGTTATCATGTTATTCTGCCATGTGCTCCCTAGGAGATACTATCTGAGGCGTAGCAACTGAAAGACAAACTAGCTTTACAGGGACAGGTGCAATGGCATAATGGAAAAAGCCTAATTAAAAAAAAACCGCACTCCTGAAGCTCTAGAGGGACTGGACAGAAGTGGTTCATGAGCCTCTCCCTGCAGTGTGCTCCTTCTCTTGTGCTTACATATGGAACAAGTTATGCAAACTGAGACCAGCTGCCTCGCTGCTTCTGCTCACAGTCTGAAGTGACAGTTTGGGTTTCAAATGGTATTGAGTTTGCTGGATCTTTTCATTTTCCCATTTCTGTTCTATGTTAGGCTCACAGTAAGTAGCCTAGCACTTTAAAAGCAACAGTCAGGCATATGTCACCAAGTTGCAACATGTTTTGAGCTTTTCAGGGTCAACAGGTGACCAAATCTTTGCCGACCAGCAGCACCGCTAACCCCATAGCCACAACTGCTGCTCTGAGTGCTGCAAGCATAAAACACTGCAGACTGCCTCCCTCCAGTTTTGTAACATCTTGTTCAGCCACAACTCTCCACGTGACAAGACACAAGAATATTTTACAAACGCCAAAACCCTGAAATTGCTTTGTGGAGAAGGACCTGCTATTACCCACACACAGAAGTAGTTATGCTTGGCTAGCAACAGATCAGGATTAGAGTCAGTGTCATGTATGTTAACCTTCTGTTCCAAAGCTGCACAATATACGTTGGTGATTTCTTTGGCAGATCCTAGTTGTGTTTATTATGCTCTGCCTTCTAGTTTGTTACTAGAAGAGTCTGCAAAAAGCCTCTTTGGTCATTTTTTCACTCCAGTGGCATGACAGCCTCCATTCTGAAACATGCCAGAAATGGGTAAGTGCCCTGCAGTAATTTCACAAGGATTCGTCCCTCCCCTGCCAAGCTGCAATTCCCTGCTAAACACTGTACCTATGTATTTGAAGAGTGTACTGCTGATTCCCGCCAGCAGGGAAAGGGTTATCAAGTCTCCAAGGCTTGCTGCAATGGGTGTGGCGACATTGTCTGGATTGATCCCAATTTTCCTTGCTCCGAGGATCACACCAATCATCACCAGACCTAGAGACGACACAGAGTAGGAATCAGAGAATGCATCCTGCTGTCTTTCACCCCAGAGCTGCTGTTCAGGTTCCCAGAGGGTCGTGGGGGTCTAAAAAGCAAGATGCACATTACCCATAGCACTACCACGCAGCTGGAGATTGGACAACTCCAGGAATTTGTCCTCTTGCTTTCACCAACCTGACGGGCATGACTCTGCCCCTATGAACTGCGCCAAAGGCCCAGAGGCACACAAGCAAATTCCAGGGATCAAAGGACATACCAGCAGGCAGCCCAAATGTAGAAGCTCCCCTCCTGAGCAGCCTAATCTTTACTGCCTTGAAGCAGGACCAGGCACGGAGCACACTCATAGATAAGCACACAGCAGGCATGCAGCAGCCTCCTGGTGCCATCCCCTGCTCTGGATCTCACGGCACAAATATGTTTTCCATATTAGACCAAAGTCTCTCAAAGTTTGATTCACCAAACAGCAACAAACTTCCTTACAGTAAGCTAAATTAGCCTTTCAGCCCAGCCATCAGACTGACCCCTAATGTCCCAGAGTCTTTGGGGCTGCTTTAACTTGCACTGAATGAGTGTTGATGTTGTGAACAGCTCCAGAGTCATGGGATTATGGAGGCAGCCCACATCACCTCTTTTCCCCTGTCCTCTAAGCTGCACCTGGAAAATTCAGCTGCTTCTCAGCATTGTTGGAGAGAAGTTTTGCTTGCTCAGGTAAGTTAAGGAGCACAAACCCCAAACCCTGATGAACATGTGGGTATTCCTTAACCATCTCTCACAAGCCTGTGGATCAGCTACCTGAAACAAACCCTGCTTGGCCAGGTTCCACGGCAATGTGACTAGCAAGGAGAGCCTTGAGAAAAGACATATGACCGATTCAAAGTCCTTCCATGGCTGACAGATGCACCAAAGGAAGCCCAAGAAATGGTGATTCACTCCAGCTCACCACCTCTCTGTGCCTGTTTGCACAGCCCCACCAAAGCTGAGCATGCACAGGAGCACCAGCTCTCCCCTAGGAAATACCACATGTGCACTTTCCATGATACAACATCCCTTCATACAGAAACACATCCTCACACAACATGGCATTTCCACTAAAACCCTCCCAGACACCCACGCTCCTCTCCCCACAGCACAGTTCATGCTGCTTCCCTCCCTGGTCATAAAAATAGCAACTTCCCGTTGTGCACACCCACACATAGGCTGCCTGTGACCATGTCCAGAGAAGAAACTAATGCCAGCTGCAAGTCTGCGATGGGACAGCAGCAAAGCCTCTCTGTACCACAGTGAGCAGGGAGAATGTAAGGAAGAGTAATGAAAGCTGGGCTGCTGTTTTTTAACAACTGCCTCATCCATGTTTTTCATCAAAGGCATATACAATCACCCTTTGACTCCAGCTTCAGGATATGCACTTGTTCGAACTTGTCCCTTTCATTTAGAAAACTTGCTGTATCCGACTCTGCCAGCTGCCTCTATTCAGGGTATCATGCTGCCCTCGTATGGCAGACTTGCAAACTGATGATCTTCAGGCGACACAACAGCTCCTACCGTCCATCCCATCACGTTTCCCTTGAAGGGGAAGAGCCAGGAGACAGAACTGCCTGGCTCTGAGCTCACAGCAGGCAAACCGTCGGGCTGGCTACAACCCTGCGCAGGGTACTGGGTGACCCGAGTGCATCTTGAGCGTGGTCTGGTGTTGTCTGCTAACACACTCTCTGTTCCCTGCTTTGTGCATGACATTAGTTCAACCTCCCTTAGGAAAGGACCAATGTAGATGGCTAATGTGTCACCCAAGAGAGACAGAGCAAGTGTGTGCACACCCATGCATGTGGCAGTTTTTGTGTGTCAGGTGAAGGACACTTTGGTTGCTGCTGTTGATGCATGGGAGAAGAGAAGCAAAGGCAAGATGCAGAGGGGATGAAAGCAACAGATATAGGACTAATGCTCCCTGCATCCCTCCTCCCTCTGCCAGACCAGAGGGATGTCTGTTGGGCCTCCCTGGTGGAAGGGGCAGTTTACAGTGCTCCATGTGTGATCTGAGGAACCAGAACAACTCACCAAGTGAAAGTGCAGCTATGAAGGCTGTGGTCACACTGCTGGCACACAGCACAGCAGCCTGGCTCAGCTCCACAGAGCCCTTGGAGATGGCTCCCAGGATCACAGCAGCAACAGCTGCCAGAAGTCCCACCACAGTGGCCTGGACCTGGGGACCAAAAGACAGCTGGTGAGCAATCATTCACATCTGGTCCCAGGCAGTCCTGGCTCCACACGACTGCAGCACTGCCACACAGCTTGGAGGGCAAAGCCTTGCATAGATGCTAATTGCTTATGTATTTAGCAGCATCCCTATAAGGCTCCACTAGATGGAAAGAAATATATTGAAAAAGTTTGGAGAAAAACTCTGGAGGCCTGTAAAGGGCAGATAACATTTCAGCAGAGGACACCGAGTCCATCAGTAGAGGAATAACCCTGGTCAACACAAAAATGGGCTCCACATCAATGCAGCACTCCTATCAAGCTGAAAGCTGTGGAAGGAGATAAGGGAAAGCACATAGACACATGTTGCAAGCCCTGTGGCCTTGCCATGTGCAACCTCTAGGCTGGTTGCTAGATTTTAACAAGCAGAAATAGCTCCAAGATGCACATTTCTCCCATCTCTTCCCTCCTGTCCAAGGCTGACTCTCAAACACTGCCAGTAAACAACAGGCTTTATCTAGGGGCTGTTGTGAAACAGGAATTGTGCCATAGCTGTCCCTGTAAAAGGAGGGGCTTTTATTATTTCAGTTTGTTCACAAAAGCAACAAATGTCTAGATGTCTTTTGCAGCTAAACTACAAGCTCTGGGGCCACACAGAGCGTTATTGGAGGTCAAGTCCTGGTTCTGTTGAGAATACCTGCCCCAAATCACCAGCTCTGGATTCAGCATTGCTGAGAACAGATGCTGTTGGTCTGCAACATAGCAAGAGAAAAGAGACTTCTCCATATCCTAGCTGAAGTGACTCACCTGGATAAGGGCTAAATTGCAGGTGGCCATTTTCCATTGCTTCTGGGCATCATCCATCTGTCCGGTGTTAGCCTAGGAGCCAAGAGAGACACCCTGAAAACCTGTTTCGGTGGCACAGGTGGCTGCTGAAGGCAGTTTCACCTGGTCCCTGTGGGAAAGAGACCTGGCAAGCACAGGTCATCATCTTCCAACCTTCCCTGCACTTCCTTCATGGCACTTTTCTGTTGTGCTCCAGCACAGTGTCCCAGGAGCATCAGAGGCTCACACTGGAGGTGCAAAGACATTGCAGTGCACTCAGCTAAAGGTGGAGTGGGCATATTCACCACATCCTGCACAGACCAAAAGCTGAACAAATTAAACCATTTTTCCTCTTTTGTTCCCCCTGAGTTGCTCTGTTGTGCTCCAATTTTTCCTGAGACATGCAATATAAACAGCCCAAAGTAAACAAAACTGCTTAGGGAGATAGAAGAGATCAAATACAGAGTAGCAAAAGCTACTGCAGGTTCCAAGAAGCCTTGGCCTGCTCCCTCCAAAGTAGGATTGTTGAGAAGCCCTGGGTCTCTCAAGGATCAATACCCACAGAAAAGCAATCCAATACTGAAGCTGACAGCTGTGGAGCTCTGGCTTTGTCTCCTTCATGTGTCACAGGGCCCCAGATATCAGCAACTGGCCGCCCAGGGAATAATTCACCTTCAAAGCGCAGATGGAAAATCTCTGTTCTGGTTACAAAATGAGGGCAAACACATTATTTTAACACTCACACATCACTAGTTTCTACTTAGCCAAAAAGGGCACGTCTCATACACAGTGTGATTATATAAAAGAAGAATCTCCTCATGTCTCCTGCTAATCACCCCTCTCCCCACAGCCCCCCCCACCACCACCTTGTTAATACTCACAGCAGTAGAGAGCCTGGATGCCAGTGTCATCTCAAGATTACCCTTCAGGCCAACCAAGGCAGGAACAAGGATAAACACTTCTGTAATTGTCCGAAACACATCCCAGTGCTGGAAGAAAACAAAGGCAACAACCTCAGTTTGTGATGCTGACCAGTCCACTGCTCTTGCTCCACAGGGGAGTGGGTTCTTGTCTCGCCACCTCCTCTACAAGTGTCTGCTATGCACATGGGGGCAGATGCTGCCCTGGACTTGTTGCATTTGGGGAGTGAAGGAAGGAATTTTCAGCTCACACTATTGTTTCTCATCTCATGTACAGCCAAACACTACCCTAACAGTGAAGGATATTTCTTCCTGAAGGCAACAGAAGATTTTGGAAAGCCACAAATTAAAATGTGCCTTTAGGATTAGCTAAGAACAACATGAAAAATAATTAGGCTTCACCAGCCAAATGAAATACAGCACGTTCTTTCTCCTTTGTACTGACACTAGATACAGGAAAGCCTGTTGCTAACCAGACTCATAAGAACAAACACAAAGATCTGGAAGCGATCTAACAACAAAAAGTTGTGTCTGTCTTTTCATACCAATCTTCTAACTAAGCATCTAAGACTGCTGGTAGGACAGAAGGAGATATTTGCATCTCTTCTCCATAGGCAGTTCCTAAATCTTCCTGTTACCAAGCACATTCCCAGCACAGCTGGAAAAAGGATTTTGAATTAAGATATCTCATAAGCTGAACTGCTGGGCCAATATCTTCACTGTCGTTGCTCCTCTGAAGATGAACTGTACAAAGATGTTGAATCAGCTGCAATGCTAGAGACAATCTGAAACCTTAAGGAACTTTGTTGACACACATCTTCTCTAATTTATATACCATACAGTGCTTTGGAACATAATTCATTCACCCCCTGTGCATTCAAGGATGTTGGCAAAGTCCCATTGTAGCCAGAGAGGTTTACATCATGATGAAATCACAGAACAGGGCAGCTCAGTGTGAAGTAAAATCAACAAGTTAAGCATCTAAGAGCAGAATACAACCAAAGAAGACCAGGTCAAAGGTCCATCTAACCTATCCTTAGCTCTAGCAATGGTCAAATTCACGTGTGTAAAACAAGAACCTACAAATATGACAAGTAAACAGGAGAATTCTCCTGTGTATTTTCCAGCCTATGACTATCTGCCACAGGGTACTGAACTGGCGAAGTCTTTCTGCACACTTACCAGTGCTGAAAGGATTTTTCTTTCAGGTACTCATCCAATCTCCCCCCTCCAACCCATGTGCCATCCTGTGGCAAAAATTTTCATAGTTTAGCTACACATCATGTGAAGGATCAGTTTGTTCATTAATTCCAACTTATCCCTGGCTAGTATCCCATGATGGTCCCAAATTCTGGCACAAGAGGACAAAATGAACAACAGATCCCTTTGCACCTCTTTCACATCCATTGGGATTCGATAAACCTGAAAATCCAGGAGGTTGGACAGACTCAATAAATGTCAACACATTCAGCTGTCAGCCTGTTAGACAGGGTGTAATAGCTTGGTGTTTTCCTTTGACTGTGCCATGGGAAGCTGTGGAAAGCTGGTGGTGTGGCTGTCTGCTGGAAAGACCTCACAGCTTCCTTCTCAGTCAGGATAAATGAAGAGTGGGGCTGAGCCAGTCCTGAGCATGTGGTGCAAGACACCCATCAAGGTGCAGATAAGAAGCAAAACATTATTATCAATATAAAAAAGGCACATTTCCTGGCAGTGGTGACCTGGAAACAGGCATGTTTCAAAATGTTAAGGTAAGTTACTTTTGAGTAAATAACAGACAAGACAAAAATAGTCATTTTATTCGACACACTACAATTTCGTCTAAATTTGTTAGCACAGAACTTAAATACCTGAGAAAAGCTAGGGGTGGACATCTCTTTTTAAGATTCATATCCCCCTCTCTCTTCTCTCTTTAAGAATAAAGATCCAAACACATCTTTGACACCTTCAAAAGAAAGGAGAAAAACCAGACCTCATAGCCACAATGTAAAAACCCCCAATCATTTAAAATACAGAGGCAAGAACATATTTATGCTTCAGTTCTTGCATGTTTCACACATAGAAAGACAATGAAGTTTGCAGGTCTCAAGCCATTGTAACAGAAGTTTCAGCATATGAGGTATGTTTTTTTGGGACTCTGCCTTACCTATAATTACAGTGAAAGTCTCTAAGCAATTAATAAAGGATCACACAACTGTACTAATAAAAAAAGCCGACTTAATTGCCTCTATTTGAGTCTCATTAGTGACTCACCAAGAGCCTAAGGACAGATTCATAATGATTTATACCACAGTAGCCAGGACTCCATTGTGTTAGCAACTGCAGAAATACTGAATAAACAGATGATGACTGTGGCATTGACTTGCAGGACTGTCAGCTGGAAGAGTGGGTGAATGGGGCAAGTTATAGCTGTGTAGGCGAGGAGCTACCTGAATGAAGACAGCTGAACTGAGCCTAAGAAACATCTCTGTCCTTCGAGACGAAAACTAGCCTAGGAGAACAGAAACATTCCATGCAATATTACAAACCCACACAGGGACACAGAGCCAGAAAGAGACTCTTCCCCACTCCACATCTCCATAATGGAGTTTCAGCCCTAAAACCCAGCTCTGGAGAAACTTGGTTAACCCCGTGATCCACCGCAGCTGTTCTCCATGGCAGTTGGATCTGCTCATGGGGTCCCTGAGAGGAAGAGAGGCTATGCTGTATTAAGCCAGCCTCCCCAGCTGTAGTTTAGCCCTGCTGTAGTTCCTCACACTGACCTCACAGTCCCAACCATGTCCTGTCACATCTTCAGGGCATTCATCTCCCAGGGCAGCAGCTAAGGAGCCTCAGAGGTTTTCCATTGCTCTGAACAAGTCACCAGAAAGATCAAAATATCCTGGAGTACAAAACGCAAGCCGATTCAAAATCCTTTCCAGTGCTAATAATCTCATGGGCTTTAATCAACAAAGGACAGGGATACCTTATGTCTGTGGCTTTTATTTAGACTATGCCCCACTGGAGTATTGTGGAAGGGGAAAATGAAAGGGCAGCTTTCCTCCAGAATTCTGGTTTGAAATCTGATTGTCCAGCTTCATTCTGATTCCTCACCTTACATAAAAGAGTGGGCCAAACACTGGCAATGCCCCAGCAAAGCCAGCCAGCCTAGAATCTGGATCGAACAGCTGGCCAAGGATCACTGGAGCAGAGGTGGAAACATCCAGGAAGAAAAAGCCCATGCCATGCTCTCGGCCCTACAGAGAGGCTGCATCATCTGCACAACCAAGAAGAGAAAATGGCAAATGGATACTTTTTTGGGCATCCTTCTATTACAATATGAGAGACCCAGGTTCGAGCCTTAGAGCCAGCTGGGCTAGATAAACCTCTCTTGTTGATTATTTTTAAACAGTAACATGAACAGTTTTTGTTTTAATCCCAGAACAGATCAGAAACTGCAAAAATCCTGGAAAGTTTGATAGGACAAACAAGCAATTTCCACTTTGATCTCTTCTTTACAGCAACATCAACCCTGCAGAAGAGCATGCCAGCTGGACTCCTAGCACAGAACTAAATTATTTCGAGGTATTTTGCATGTAACAAAACAAGGGCAGCAGAATTAAACCACATATATGCTCTAGGTACCATCCATGAGCTTGTCCATATATCTCCCTGTCAAAGACAGACAGTGAGTTTCCCAAGAATGTTTTGCAGTGACTGCAAACAGGGCAAAGCATTCCTCAGCCAGACAACCACAGAAAAATGGGCAAATCACAGACTCCTGGACTAGAAAAACCTGTAGTTCAATTGGTGTGAGCTCTTGTGATTGGCAATATAAGTCTTATGGTACCTGGCCTCAGGTAAACAAATTTGTCTCAGGTTTTAGTTGTTAGGACAGTGAGATTCTACCTCTCACACTTGCAGGAAGAAAGACTGAAAATAAATATCTCAAAGACAATAAAGCACAGAAGAATATTACAAACCTTTAAAGACTTAGATCTCTGCATTTTCCCAGCTACTGGCTTTGTTTTTAAATATGGTGGTGTTGATGCCATGGCAGCTCACCTCAATACCATCTCTCCTGTGCCAGTTGTGACTCTCAAAGCACTAGGCTCCCTCCTCTGTTAGCTGAACCCATGGACTTATGGCTTCTATTTCAGCAGAGTTGGAAACACCTTCATGAAAAAATATACTTCCTGTGGTTGTGTTTTATGTGTGACCCCCTGTCTAAGAGCCCAGTGAACAAATACACAAACCAGACTGCCCACCAGTATATATGTTTTCCACCAGATTGAATACAGTTACATTTTTGAACAGAGACCATCTCTTAGCAAGTGCTTCTGGACAAAGACCTGTTCACTTGCCAAGGTATGGAGTGGGTATGTACTGTGTTTTTATCCTTCCCTGAGATAACTGCTAACTATTAATGTAACATCTTGGGTAGTTTGAGAACTTCTGTAATGCTGCAAGACAGGTCTGTGCCTAAACACAGCACAAGGTGGAGATGACAAACACAGCACAGCAACAGTGTGTGCCACTCCAGTTAACCCTTCTTTGATATTCCTCATATTCCCCTCAATTCAACTCCTCTGCTTCTTTGTTTCTTCCAAAGCAGGAAAAAAAACAGGAAGGTATTGTCTTTCCAAACATTCAAGTACCCATATTTAGCTCCTGCTGTGGTATTAATGCCAGAGAATCCAATGTACTCCAGTGAGCTCAGAGTGCAGGATATATCCTTGGGAAACTCTGCCAGCCTTTTGATTTGTAAATCCACTGGCATGAGACGCCCAAACTAGATCAAATTTTGCATTTCTATTTGTGCCACTGGTACAAAGGAAAGACCGATGGGATAGATTCGGGTTGTGGGCACAATGGTGTAAATGCAGCAGGACTCTCTGAAAGTCAATGGAAGTTATTCTAAATTTACACCCACCTCAGAATCTGCCCGAGGAGTCAGTCTGTAGGCAATACTAATCATTTTATGCTGGCATGCCTCTCATCACAGTATCTAAACGCCTTCTAGACCAAAGATTACATTAGGCTGTTTGCAAAGAACTGAAAGCATGAACTTGCCTCTAAGTAAGACAGGTAAT